TAAAAACTTGGCCCTTCTTTTGTTCTTCACTGAATTTACTGCATTGACTAATTTCCTATGTTTTCATTAGTGCTTTAGAAAATGATTTGACTTGATAACTATTTAACATAAACCGAAATCAGTAATATAATGAGATGTGTGAGAGTAAAAAAGTGCAACACAAAATTGGGGTTTAGGGTAGTTATTTTAGGCTCATTTGCTTCTAATGAGGCTGACAAGGTTTAATAGTCTTAACTTAGCTCCAGAAGAAAGGAATGTGTGCTGAGCAGTCAGAGAAGCAGCTGTGCTCTCTCCTTTCTGAGGAAATGGGCGCCTGGTAACCTTGCTTCCCTTTGCTGCAGATCTCTCCTTCCCCCAAGCCGCAAGCCTCCCTGCCTCCACTGCCGTTGTATGACCAGCCTCCCAGCAGCCCCTACCCCAGCCCAGATAAGAGAAGCTCCCAGTACTTTCCCAGGTCTCCTTCAACAAATGGTAAGGGTTCTCCTGGGCCTGGGTCTAAATGCATTTTCACTTCAGAAATCCATATATTTGCCTGAAGAGCAAACAGATCTTCATTAGCATTTTTACTGCTCAACAACTCAAATAAAATGAGCTGCTTTGGTTCCCTTCCTTTAGAAAACAGCCTTCATGATGAATCACCAGGATTCTCCCAGGTATCAAGGCACACTCCTGAGACCTCATATGGCAAACTGCGACCCGTAAGTCTCCTATCTGGCAGGGTTATAGAATGCGTGGTTCTTCCAAATTCACAGTTAGAAATTAATGTTTCCCTATGGCCTGTGTGTTGTGATTCTGCCAAGCAAGGGTAAAATGGATTTGAGGAGGTAAAATGAGCTATTGAAAAGAAAGCAATAAAAATCAACTCATCTTAGAACATTTAGTCTTCACTGGAACTTATTTCACTGAGCCTTAGTAAGATCACAGAATGAAAGTATATTTAAATTATAACAACTTTGTGAGCATTAAAGTGGCCTAATTGTGAAACAGAAGCACTTTTTTTCAGCAAGTGCTTATTAAGGACCCATATTTCAAGCCTGTGTTTGCCTCCTAGAGAACATTGAAATGAAATAATAAGATAACACATCATGGCCTCAAAGAACTTCTATTTCCAGCAAGAATATATTCTTGCAAATAGTTGCCTCTACTCACCCCTCGTCACTTTACTGACATCTCACTTCCACCCCCTCCTATACCCTCTGAGGTCAGAACTTTCACCTTGGTAATCCAATGGATAATTTGTAATTTTATTTTTCTTGACCTTTATCAGCTTTTTTTTTTTTTTTTTAGAGACGGACCCTCAAGCTGTCCCCCTGGGTAGAGTGCCATGGCATCACGCTCACAGCAACCTCCAACTCCTGGGCTCAAGCGAGTCTCCTGCCTCTGCCTCCCAAGTAGCTGGGACTACAGGCGCCCGCCACAACACCTGGCCATTTTTTGGTTGCAGCCATTATTGTTGTTTGGCAGGCCCGGGCTGGGGATTCGAACCCGCCACCTTAGGTGTATGTGGCTGGCGCCTTAGCCGCTTGAGCCACAGGCGCCGAGCCAGCCTTTATCAGCTTTTTACACCATTCCTTAAACCATTGGCTTCATCCATTCAGCAGATGTGTATTGAGTGCCTTGTTTAGCACTTGGGCCTTATCCTAAATGCTATAGGAAGCTATTGTAAGATAGTCAGCAGGACAGTATTGTTGCTAGTTCTGCATTTCAAAGCATTGCTGTGGTAGCTGAGTGGAGAATAAATAGAAGGTGGCATCTTGTCCTAGAAAGAGGTGATGGTGGCATGGACTTATGAATAAGGGTGAGGATGGAGAGAAGTAGACTGCTGTGTAGTAGACAGTGTTGCACCACACTGTCCTGGCCTTCTCCCTGTCTCTGCTGACACTTCTCATGGTTCTGTCTCTAGGCTGCTTCTTTTGAAGTCATTGAAAGCACTTTTCCCAGGTGATCTCATCTATTCTCACTGCCATTTACATACCATGAACTCCCAGATTTCTAACTGCCAATCCAATCTTTTCCCTGAGCTTCAGCCTTGCAGACATCTCAACTTATATGTCCCAAACCCCCAAAATTCAGCAAAAGTGAGTTAATTATCTTCTCTCTCAGACATTCTCTATCTCCCAAATCACTTGCCTTGGTGAATAAAACCACCATCCTATAGGTGTTCTGGCATCAGTCTTACTATCTGCCCAGCCCTGTCTCTCACAAACAGTCATCACTAGACCCTGCCAGGTTGACCTCAGAGATAGCTGTCAAATCTTTCGCCTCTACTTCCTCCATTGCCAGCACTCCATTGTTCAGGCTAACATCAATTCTCATCTACCAGACAAGTCTCCTAAGTAGTCTTCTTGCTTGAACTCTTACTCACTTTGAATCTTTTCTCTAAACTATTACGTGAGTCATCTTCCACATATTGAATATTACTAATCACCCACCAAAAACAACTCCTTGCCTTATCCTAAAGATTAAAGCACAGATTTTTTTTTTAGACAGCCTCACTTTGTCGCCCTCAGTAGCGTGCCAGTGGTGTCACAAGCTCTCAGCAAACTCCAGCTCTTGGACTTAGGCAATTCTCTTGCCTCAGCCACCTGAGTAGCTGGGACTATAGGCACCTGCCACAGTGCCTGGCTATTTTTTTGTTGCAGTTTAGCCTGGGCCAGGTTCAAACCCACCACCCTCAGTATACTTGGCCGGTGCCCTAGTCACTGAGCCATAGTCTCCACCCAGGCACAGATTTCTTAAAAAGGCCCCTTCTGGCTTGGGACCTGTAGCTCAAGCGGCTAAAGTATCAGCTACATACACCAGAGCTGGCGGGTTCGAACCCAGCCCAGGCCTGCCAAACAACAATGACAACTACAGCCAAAAAATAGCCGGGCATTGTGACGGCTGCCTGTAGTTGCAGCTACTTGGGAGGCTGAGGCAAGAAAATCGCATAAGCCCAAGAGTTGGAGGTTGCTATGAGCTGCAATGTCATGACGCTCTACCCAGGGCAACAGCTTGAGGATCTGTCTCAAAAAAAAAAAAAAAAAAAAAGAATAAATAAATAATAAAAAGGCCCCTTCATGACATAATCTCAGTCTGCCTCTCCAGCCTTCTCTCTTGCCACTGTCCTCAGACATGCTAAAATGTTTTAAGTTTTTTAAGCATTTCTCTTTCTTGCTTTCAACTCCTGGCCTTTACTTTGGAAAGAATTTTGGGACTACAGTGACTCTTGTGCTTTCAGCCTAGGCAAGAACCTGATCTATGTGTTTGATAGTTTCACTGAGAATAGCTGCCTCTCTGTGTGGGAAATAGTAAAGATTAGATTGAAAGCATCTGCTCAGAGCATTTCTGAGACCCCTAGGGTACCCACATCCTTGGATAGATGAGTAATTGGGTTTAGGGGTGTTTCACCCACCAAGTTAGGAAGCTCAGGAAGCTGGCTGACCAACTATGTCATTGTTTCCTGCTCAGGTCCGGGCAGCTCCCCCTCCACCTACGCAGAACCACCGAAGGCCAGCAGAAAAGATCGAGGATGTGGAAATCACACTGGTGTGATGATGGGTTTGCCCAACCATACTGCTACAATCAAGGCCAGGCTTGGGAGTTTGGCCAGTCTTGTGTTTCAGGCACCTTTGCATGATGATGATGACTCTATGACTCTTGAACAGAGCAAAAACAAGGAGGATTATATGTGACTGGTTGGCCTGGTGGACTCTTCCCACATTTTGAATAATTCGTGCCTTTTTTTGTTGTCAAATTCTATGTCATCTCTCCTACCATAGCACAAATCCTAGTGGACCCTAGGCACAGAGAGTGGGGCAGCCCTCATGCCAAACAGTGGTCCATTTTTATATGAGACTCAAGACCAGGCCTCGTTCCAGGGCACCGTCACAGAAATACTGATCATGTGCACTTGTACAGTATATTACTGTGGCCACAGGATGTGGCAAAGATTCTCATCTTTCTTCAAGTAGCTTTTGCTCATCTGATTTAAGTATTAATCAGATCATGTTGGCTATATAAGGAAACAGAAAGAGGGATTTCAGGAGAGGCTGGCTCCTCCCCAAGGTTAGTCCCCAGACTGAGAAAGTAAAAAAAGTGGACTGCCCTGAGTTTAGCACCAATTGCATTAACGCACATCTCTTCTACCACTAACTGATTTAAAAACGATAACAGTGTCCTTTGTATTATTAATATCTATGCCATTCATTTAGAATTAGTGGAGCTAATATGGAGGGGCTGAACTAGTAGCCACATCTTGTCCATCACATAGACTAATAGAAAGGAGGTTACGGCTAAAGCAGAAATGGAAGTTCCAGATCTGAAATGAGCCGATATAATGTTCTTTTTGTATCTGGGTATTTTTCATCTTAATTTTTACAGCATATACTCTTCTTGCCAGTAATCTAGATAAATTGAGGACACATACCTCCTGCATTGTTGAGTTTCTCTACTGAGGAGGCCTCTAGCATTATTTTATTCTCAATCCAGTGCACTGGTCCAGTCCAGCTATCACCCATGGAAAATCCAGTTTCCAGGTCCCACTGCCCTGACATTTCCTTCGGATGAAGAACCTGTGAGCTCATGGAGAAACCAGCTTCCTGTGAGAAAGGACTGAAGGATTGCACACCCTGGACAAATCCAGATTGACAAGAAAAAGACAACTGCATAAGTCACAGGGAGAGCCAGGAGTGGTGTCCTCTGCAGGCTAGTGTGCCCATAGCTGCAGGCACTAAGAATAGGACTCTGGTTCTCCACTCCTTTGGAAGGTAGGGAGTGCAATACCTAGGGACTAAGGGATGTTTGCCAGTTGCTTTTTTTTTTTTTTTAACTTTTGTTAAGAAATCAAATTTGTAGAATTTAATACAAAAGTTGTTTTATGCTTTGAAAATTCCATCCCTCCTAAGAATCTTTAAAAACTTGAAATGCTCGCCAAATGTCCCAATGGGATTTTTTTGACCAAAAGTAAAGGTCATAGCTGAAGAAATTTTCAGTCAGTCATTTGATCACTCAGAGACAGTACCCACTGATGAATCTTCTCTGTGATTTTGGGGGTTTTTTGTTTTTGTTTTTTGCATTTCTTAATCTGTTGATCTATTTGAGGTCTTTTGTGTTTATCAAACTTATTCTTAAGTTTAAAAAAGAAATTAAAGTATGGTTTTTTTAAGACTTTAAAATTTTCTGACATACTAAAGATCTTCAAAGTGCTCATAAATAGAACAGTCTTGTATTTTCTCATTAGCTAGCCAAATTTTCCTTGAATTTGGGTTTTCCATAGCCTCAGAGGGTTATTTGAAGTCTTTTGTTATATTTTAAAATATTTTTTGGAAGAGCTGCTAATTTTATTTTAAAAAGCAAAGTTGTAAAAATATGCCTCCTTTTTAAAAAATAACCCCTCCCTCCAGAACATGTAACCCAGCATCACAATGCACAGGCCAGGGCTCAGAGGGAGCCTCTGTGCAGATGTGCTTTCTTTACAGTGGCTGTAAAAAGTTTGTATTTATTATGTATAAAATGTTGAATAATAAAAAAATGGAATTAAGTTTTCTGAGTTTCCCTATAGGAAGTTCTGGGTAAAGAGACATTCCCCCAACGACCATGCTTCTTATAAGATACATCTGGGCTCTCCTTTAGACCACTTATCAGATAACAGAGAAAGTAAATTAATCCATCCATGGGACAAACAGTCCCTGAAGCCACCCACATGCCAAGTGCAATATTCTACATTAGAGGGGGTGCATAAATAAGTTAGGGTCTTTGCTTTCCCAGTGGGGAAAAAGATGAGTACGCACATGAGGCCGTGAGACATGTGCTAGAAGGGAGGGGCAGGCAGCATACTGAGCCGGCTGGGGAGGTGGGGGGGCCTGATTCTGCTGTGGTGGGGGTTGGGGCGAGAGGAGGATTGCTGACTGTTCCCTGCAGAATGTGACTGTGGACTTCCAGGAAGTGGGTATTATGGGTGCCCTTTCCTCATAAGCAGTAATAAATCAAGTAAAAGGAGAGTTTATTGATAGAGGACTCCTGGTTAAACACTTGAGTTTCTGTGGCTTCTAGCCAGCCACACCCAACCACCAGGGCCCAGCCTATTTGGGGAGGGGCCCCACAAACTCCTCTCTTTTCATAGCACCAAGGACATGCAGTATTATGGTTCCAGACATATTTTTGTGCATAAGACTCTTAAGTGTATGGGCACAATGTTTAAGGGCATATGGCACAATGTAGGGTGTGTTTGGGTGCAGGACACAACTACAGGGACTCAACAAATTCAAATATTGTGACCTGATTGTTTGTACCCTCACATTAACCTGAAATAATAAAAACAAAACAAAAAAACCTCGTAAGTGTACACATTGCTTGTTTACATAAAAGTGTTCTAGCATAAATAAATATTGGGTAAGTTCCTAAATATGGAATCTGAGAGTCAAAAAGGTATGTGTTTGTTAGATTTTGTTAAATTGGCCTATGAAAAGATTACATCCATTTACATTCCCACCAGCAGCATATAAAACAACATGGACTTGGGAGTCTCAGTTAAAAATCAGGCTTCATCACTTAATAGCCATGGAGACTAAGTTTCAGTATCACTTTAATTTATTTTTTTATTTTGAGACAGTCTCACTATGTCACCCTCAATATAGTGCTGTGGTGTCATAGCTCACAGTAACCTCAAACTCCTGGGCTCAAGTGATCCTATTGCCTCAGCCTCCCAAGTAGCTGGGACTCCAGGAGCCTGCCACAACACTTTTTTTTTTTTTTTTTTTTTTTAGAGACAGGGTCTCACTTTTAATCGGGCTGGTCTCGAACTCCTGAACTTAAGCAATCCACCTGCCTCAGCCTCCCAGAGTGCTAGGATTACAGGCATGAGCCACCATTCTAGCCTTGAGCCTCAGCGTCCTCATCTGGAAGCTGAGAATGCTGTGTAGCCACACATAAAGTGTATGGCACAGGATGGTAACCACAAATACTCCTCAATGTCCTCTCCCACCTTTTTTTTTTTTTTTTTTTTGTAGAGACAGAGTCTCACTTTTTCGCCCTCAGTAGAGCGCAGCGGAGTCGCTGCAACAACCTCCAACTCCTGGGCTTAGGCGATTCTTCTGCCTCAGCCTCCCAAGTAGCTGGGACTACAGGCGCCCGCCACAATGCCCAGCTATTTTTTGTTGCAGTTTGGCCGGGGCTGGGTTTGAACCCACCACCCTCGGTATATGGGGCTGGCGCCCTACTCACTGAGCCACAGGCGCCTCCCTCCCACCTCTTCTGATGCTCTTCACAGTGGGGGTCACGGATAGTCTCCCAGGCACACACTAACACAGGGGTTATCATGAGGCCCAAGGGAAGAAGCATGTGTGAAGTTCTTCACCCATAAACGTGGGAAGGGCTGTCAGAACACGTGAAATATCATTTCCATCTTCTGCCTTCCCTTCTGGGGAAAGCTGCTCACATTTGAAACTACTGTTAGCACTTGAGACTGGCTGTGACCCAGTCGCCTCACTCCAGGGTCATAGCTTAATTCTGGCCTCCTTCAACACAGGAACTGATTTCATGTAGTCAGGCCACAAAGTCAGCACATCATCTAGATCCCCTTCCTCTCTGACCCCAGCACCCGAGCACACAAGCCACGTGGGAGCAGGTCATCTGGCCTTAGCCTGCCACTCTGTGAGGGATGACCTTTCCCTCTGAGTTGCCACATCCTCACCTTTAAAAGGATGGAATGGAGGTGATTTCCAAGGACTAACCCAACTCATATTCTGGATCAGTTCAGTTTCTAGTCGCTAAAAAAGTCACACAAAAAGGTCATAATATTTGAGAATAGACATACTAACATATAAACTTGGGATGGCAAGAAAGTGAAACTCAAGCTACTAGACTCTTCCCCTGGGACAAAACAAAAACCTCTTCCTCTCAATTGCAATTACCAGGCTGCACTGTTCACTGGCTGCCTGAGAAACCCAGCCACAGCTTTTGTTTGGGGGGCCAATTATGGCCCAGCCCTCTCCTTTTAGCCTTCAGACAAAATCTAGCTGCTCTGAATCTTTGCATTTATTTTTTCATTATGAAAATGTTCTTCATGACAGAAATAAAACCTAATTACAGAAATTTTAGGTTGAAAGGGGGAGAATTGTAATCTCTCCTAAAATCCTACAATTTGATACAACCAGTCAAGTTTCCTCCCTGATTCTTCCTACATTTGCTGAGTTATTACCTGATCTGCCAAGAACCAAATGAATGCCAAACAGCATCTTGTTCTTAGACTGTATTTTTCCTTGGTCTTAGTAGCCAGAAAAATATACTTCTGCCACGTCTGCTTCTGCGAGCTCTCATCTGGGATTATTTTCCTAGAATGTTTTATCATGCAACAGAAATGAATCCATGAATAAGGTTCACACCCTGTCCACATTGTGTACTGAACACATTCTACATTGCCTTTACCACTTGCTCTGGTGAGGGACAGGGTTAAAGAGCAGAGTTAAAAACTTGTATTCAGATGGTGCCTGTGGCTCAAAGGAGTAGGGTGCCAGCCCCATATGCCAGAGGTGGCAGGTTCAAACCCAGCCCCAGTAGTAAACTGCAAGAAAACAAACAAACAAACAAACTTGTATTCAGGCTCAGCACCTGTAGCTCAAGTGACTATGGCACCAGCCACATACACCAGAGCTGGCGGGTTCGAGTCCAGCCCTGGCCTGCCAAACAATGACAACTGCAACCAAAAAATAGCCAGGTGTTGTGGCGGGCGCCTGTAGTCCCAGCTACTTGGGAGGCTGAGGCAAGAGAATCACTTAAGCCCGAGAATTGGAGGTTACTGTAGCTGTGACACCACAGCACTCTACCCAGGGCAACAGCTTGAGACTGTCTCAAAACAAAACACAAAAACTTGTATTCAAGGCTGGGCGTGGTAGCTCATGCCTGGATTTCATGCACTCTGGGAGGCCAAGGTGGGTGGATTGCTTGAGCTCAGGAGTTGGAGACCCGCCTGAGCAAGAGCAAGACCTTGTCTCTAAAAATAGCCGGGCATGGTGGTGAGTACCTATATTCCCAGCTACTTGGAAGGCTGAGGCAAGGGAATTGCTTGAGTCTAGGGGTTTGAGGTTTCTGTGAGCTATGATGCCACAGCACTCTACCAAGGGTGATAAAGTGAGAATCTATCTCGGAAAAAAAAAAAAAAAAAAACTTGTATTCAGGTCGTCTCTGTACCACCTCATTGGCCGTGACTTTAGACCAGGGGTCCTCAAACTTTTTAAAGTTCACTATCCCTCAGACCGTTGGGAGGGCCGGACTGTGGACCCCGGGACAAGTCGGCTGCTAAGCAAGACAGGCAGTGGCGGCAAAAACACCTGATGGGCCGGATAAATGTCTAGGCAGGCCACAGTTTGAGGACACCTACTGTAGACCCATCCCTTCACCTTTCTGGGCCTTGCTTTCCTCATCTATAAAATGGGAATGAGAAGATAATACCAATGTCTCAAGATCCAGGAATAGTCAAACAAGATAATAAGTTGAAAATATTTTTGACAAGTGGATATACATCTAGACTATGAAAACAGCCTGTGCCCAGACCAAGGGGTCCCTACCTTTTGGTGTCAAAATTTCTCTAGAGACCACCTTTGTTAATTTGCTTTGTCCATTCAGCAAATATACTGCCCTAGGCCATGCTTTGGTCACTGGAGCCCTATCCTGTCGCCTAGGGGCTCCCATCTGATCAGGGAGACTCAGCAACTGCAGAAGACCAAGGGGCAATAGGAGCCCAGAACACAGCCTTCTGTCGCTTATCCTTCCCTGGACTTTGAAGCTCTCACTAAGGCCTGAAACCATGCAGGACAGACAGAGATGGTAGTACTCAGGTCCGCAGAGCTGTGTCACCTTTGAGGAGGCTTAGGGCTTTGGGACAGGGGCAGTTTCAGAGATGGGGCATGAGAGCCTAGGAGTCACTGTGACTTACCCAAGATCTAGCAGGAAGACAGAACTGGTGCAAACCTAGAACATCTCCACCCCTCTCCCCAGCAACAACAACAGTGTGATAAGATTTCCCTCATGAAATCTTCAGGAGAGTGCATTGGGCCACTGTCCCAGGGATCAAGTCACATCACTTCCTGAGCACCTCTTCTGGGTGTACAGTCTTTACTACAATCCGTGAAGCTAGAGACAAGTCCATGAGGTACTTGCCCCCAGTGGTGTAGCTGTAACAGCCTCCAGGATTCAAGTTTCTCTCACTTCAAGAGATACTAACCCAGGCTCAGGGGCCAGAAAGGAAAAGTGAGAGAAGATGCAGGGAAGGAGTCAGGTTGGACACAAAGCTAGGACCACACCCCACCTCACCACCTGTGTGTGTGTGTGGGGGGGGGGGATGCTCTGCAATCCTGCCCAATTGGTCGCCTGATTTCTCTAACTTTTTGTCACTGTTGCTGCAGTTTTTGACCAGGGCTGGGCTTGAACCTGCCACCTCCGGTATATGGGGCAGGCACCCTACTCCTCAAGCCACTAGGCACTGCCCTTCTCTGACATTTTGTTTAAAGAAAAGAGAAAGAGAGAGTGGGTTTGTGTGAGAGATGCAGTCACAATTGAGCTGTGTCACTAGCTGGTGTGATCTTAAATTGCTTAGCTTCTCTGAAGCCCAATTTCTCACCTGGAAAACAGATCCCATCTACATTGCCCAGTGGTTGGGAAGAACAAACGCTGCCTAAAGAGCAGAGAGTGGTGCCTATCACACCCAAAGTACTCAGTAATGGTGGCTACTGGAGTGATGGAATCTCCAGCCATGAGCTCCTGGTGGCGGGAGCTCCTTGGCATAGACTAGGCAGCGGGTGACCCCTGGTGGTCACTGGGAGCCAGGGCATGAGGACTGGGAAAGATGTGGGAGAAGTCTTGGATTTGAAGAATGGTTGGAATCCTAGAATCTTAGATGGCAAGACTTGCAGAGACCTTAAATAAGAGAATTTAACCACTTAATAGACATTTCCTGAGGCTTTCTCTGTGCGAGGCCTGATCCCAAGGAATTCTCAGTTCCCATCTGGCCTCATCTCCCCCTGATTCAAATAGAGGGAGATAGGTGCCAGGAGCAGTGGCTCATGCCTGTAATCCAAGTACATGGGAGGCTGAGGTGGGTAGATTGCCTAAACTCACAGGTTTGAGACCAGACTAAGCCAGAGCGAGACCTTGACTCTAAAAATAGTGGGGCATTGTAGCGGGCACAATAGTAGTCCCAGCTACTTGGGAGGCTAAGGCAAGAGAATCACTTAAGCCCATGAGTTTAGATTACTGTGGCACCCTACTGAGAGCAACAAAGTGAGATTCTATCTCAAAAAATTAAAAAATAAAATAGAGGGAGACAGGGACAAGCAGGTACATACAGGGACCAAGGGGGCCTCTATCAGCCTAGCAGGCAAGGGAAAGGCTATGTGTGGTGTGTGTGTGTATATGTGTGTGTGTGTGTGTGTGTGTATGTGTGTGTAAGGAAGGGGGGAGGGTCCTGAAAGAAAAGTTCGAATTTGGAGCTAGGGGATAAGGGAACATTCTGGACAAAAAGAAAAGCATAGGTAAGATATTAAGAATAGTGAGGAGGCTCGGCACCTGTGACAAGTGGCTAAGGTGCCAGCCACATACCTAAAGTGGCAGGTTCAAATCCAGCCTGGGCCCGCCAAACAACGATGGCTGCAACCCAAAAATAGCCAGGCGTTGTGGTGGGTGCCTGTGGTCCCAGCTACTTGGGAGGCAGTGGCAGGAGACTTGCTTGAGCCCAGGAGTTGGAGGTTGCTGTGAGCTGTGATGCCACAGCACTCTACCCAGGGGAATAGCTTGAGACTCTGTCTAAAAAAATAAAAAAATAGTGAGGAAGTAAAGATGCGGCTAAGAGGCCAACAGGGTCACATCCCAAGGGTTTTGATTTCATGCTAGAGACTTTCTCTAAAAGCAGCAAGGGAACATCTAAGGATTAGACACCTGAGAAAGTCACTGTGGTCATGGTAAGGAGGGGACTCGGTGGGGGACAGCAAATCTAGATGACTACAGGGACAGCACCAAACTCTGGTGCCCAAGGATGTAGGTTGTGAGGGGAAAAGTTCACATGCAGGAAATAGCTGGGTATGTCACTTGGAACTCATAGCACAGTGATCTGGGAATCATCAGAGTGTAGATTTTCACATTTAACCAACACTTTTCAGCCTCCATAGGTCTGTACCCAGCCCTAGGCTGGGTAAGTTCTGTCAGCTCTGCCCTATACTCTAGAGCAGGGGTCCTCAAACTTTTTAAACAGGGAGCCAGTTCACTGTCCCTCAGACTGTTGGAGGGACGGACTGCAGGCCCTGGGACAAGTCGGCTGCTAAGCAGGACAGGCAGAGGCAGCAGAAACACCTGGCAGGCTGGATAAATGTCCTAGGTGGGCCGCATGTGGCCTGTAAGCCGCAGTTTGAAGACACCTGCTCTAGAGGCTTGCCATGCAGATTAAACAGGGTGCCAATATAAGCAAAGTCTGCAGCTCAGACCTGGCCCACAGCACTCCCCAGGCACAAACACACAGGCCCTACTCTGCCTCCCTGGGGCTCTGGCTCTGGAGGAAAGATACAGCCCCAGTCAAAGGCAGGCATGGTGCACCAAGGACTATGATAGCACTCTGTAAGGTCCTTTCCACCAGGACCCTGCTATGCTGCCCTCTCCTCAGAGCTCCCAAGGCCCCTTCACAGCCTCAGTCTACCATGGGTGTCTGAAGGGCCCTATGTGTTGGTTTGGCCTCAGCTGAGGACCAGGTTGAACCCAAGATCACATCCTACGTTTCCTTGCTGCCTCCAGGCCCTTTTTCATGCTGTTTCCATGGTTAGCCTTGAGCAGCACCTGTCTCCCCAGGCACAGGCAGGCTGGCTCTGCCCAGTTGTGTGTGGGAGGATGAGTGGGGCTAGGCCTGGATTCCCCAAACCCACCAGCTCAAAGATCTCTCTATACCCTGAATGCTGCAAAGAACCAAACAGACACAGTTCTGATACAATTTTTCTACTTTGGGGAGAGTGAGGAAACAAAAAATAAACAAAGTACTATACTCTGCCCAATCTATACTTTGTTTACAACCAACAGGCCAGGTCCTGCCAGGCCTTTTTCCCCATTAAATCCTGAGGCCACCCCCTGCTGCTCTGGAGCTCCATGGTGCCAAGGGAAGCAGTTCTTCGGGCTTCTGGACCAGAGCTCCAGCTTAGGCAGGGTGAATTGTGGCCCTAGTGCCAAAGTACAACCTTTCTGCCCTGGTCCACGCTCACCACACAGCTCCCGGAACAGCACCAGGCCACAGCGTTGATAGCAGCACTGAGGAAAGGGAGAGGCAGGCTTCAGGAAGCATCAGGAGCTGGGCCTGCAGCCTGGCTCTGCCTCTCACTGTTGGACATGGGCAGCCTGTGGCCCCTCTCTGGGCCTGTTATCTCATCTGTGACAGGGTTGTGGTGAAGACAGACCCAGTATGTGTGGAAAGGTACCTTCAGAACTATGATGGGCTCTGGTGTGTGTAGGGAGAAGGCTGGGGATTCTAGGGTTCCAAGTATATCAGAACCTGGAATTGGCTCAGGAGGAATGAGGCCAGGCAGCACTGGCCCTGGAGCTGGGGTAGGCAGATGAGGGGGTGGTGGCCATGCTCACCAGTGGGGTCCCCAAAGGCTGCTCTCCAGCTTCCCAGTATCTACATCCCAGATGTAAAGAGCTCCATCCCAAGAACCTGCCAGTGCATAGCTTCTGTCCGGGCTGCAGTGGCCATAGCAGAGCAAAAGAACAGGGCATCAGAGGGGAGAACTCCCACAGGGTTAGATTGGGGCACACTTAGGCACAGGTATATGCTCTCACAGACACACCTGAACACAGCTTTGGTCCAGTCAGAGCCACACCTGAAGCCATCAGCCCTGAGGAGAGACAAGGTTGGGGTCAGAATGGAGGCAGCCACCAGTCCCTCTCTAAGCTCCTCTCTCTGTCAAGGGGTCGGGTGTCACAGCAGGACCTGGTCTGGAGGGGCTTCCAGGGAGAGCACCAAGAGGGCCTTTTATAGGAGAGGCTCAGCCACCCCAGCAAAGGCTACAGAATCAGCAGGCACAAGGCTGGTACCTGAATACCTGACGGATATTGCTGACCCGCAGGTCGATGACTTTGAGTGTGTCATCTCGGGAACAGCTGAGCAGATGTAGCTGGTCATGGCTGAGGCTCAGGGAGGTAACCCGGCCCTGAACAGGGATGACCTGGATGCAGTGAGGGCCCCTTAGGAGGAGGGACAAAGACAGGGATAAGGAATAGCTACTAGCCATGGCCATTCCAGACAGCAAGAGGCCGAGTGTGGCAGTTTTCCCAGCTAATAAAAATCCAGAAGCATCCCAGGGCCTCTGATCACTGGGGCCAAGGCTGACAGTGACTGTCATCCCTGCTTTTGGCAGCAGCCAGCTCCCTTCATTGAGGAATTAAGCAGACTCTAATTCAACAGCCAGAGAGCCCCTGAAACCCTTGGGTCACTAACACAAGCACTGGAAGGAAACCAATGAAAAGTCTGTCTTTAAGAATATGAAAGAGAGGGCGGTGCCTGTGGCTCAGTAAGTAGGGCACTGGCCCCATATACCAAGGGTGGCAGGTTCAAACCCGGTCCCGGCCAAACCACAACAAAAAAATAGCCGGGCATTGTAGTGAGCGCCTGTAGTCCCAGCTACTAGGAAGGCTGAGGCAAGAGAATCACCTAAGCCCAGGAGTTGGAGGTTGCTGTGAGCTGTGACGCTGCCATAGCACTTTACAGAGGGCGATAACATGAGACTCTGTTTCAAAAAAAAAAAAAAGAACGTGAAAGAGGGGTGGCGCCTGTGGCTCAAAGGAGTAGGGCGCTGGCCAAAAACTGCAAAAAAAAAAAAAGAATGTGAAAGAGATCCTGGAGAACATTTAGAGATTAATAAATATGTAATAAATAATAAATAAATAAAAGTGTAAAAGAGAGAAGGACAACTACAAACAGCAATCGCTGAAGACCAGTGACTGAAAGCATGAGGCAGACCTAGCATCAGCTCTGGTTTTGCTTTTATAAACTGTCCAAACCCAAAGTGAGGCTCTTAGGTCTAAAAAATAACTAAAGGAACTTTTTTTCCTTTTGGTCAAAAAGCAATAACTAAATGGGCAAAGGTGCTTCCCTATCTTTGCTGCAAGGACCAGGTACAGTCCAGCATTGGACAGACAGCCACTAGGTTAGTGGCACTTTCTTGGGAGAGCTGGGCCCTCAAGGGGCAATGTCCAGACAGGCCATCAGCTGACAGTGCCATCCCCACATATTCACTTCCCCAAGATGCCACCATGACTCCTGCTGCCACGGCCAAGAGAAAGGAATGAGAGCTTAAAAGCCTTGCCCAAGCCCCTACCACCTGACATACAACCTGAGCCTGTCACCTGCTATCCCAGAACCGGATCTTCTGGTCATTGTGGCCACTAATGATGATGTGGTCCCCACATACCACGTCATTACAGTAGGAAAGGACGTTGATAGTCCTGGAGCCTGGGGAACAAGGAGCGAATCTAGGGTCTCAGAGGATAGTTGTCAGGAGCCAGCCCATGGGACATATGGAGAAGCTGAAGCCCAGAAGGGCAGTGCCTACCAAGACTAAAACCCAGGTCTGCTGCCTTCTGGGCCAGGGCTCATTCTACCCCTTCACTGTCCCAGAGCCTAAGATCACTAAGAAACTAGGCAGAAAACATCAATGGAGGATAGAGGAGGGCCTTGGGAAGTTTTACTCTAAATGGCTGTGAATCTCAGACCCACCCCCAGAGAGCAGGGTGAGGTCACTCCTACCCTGGCAGGGGGTTCCAGGATGGTGGGGAGGGATGGTAGGGGCAGGGCCTCACAGTAGGCGCGACCGAGGTCCCACTCCTTCACAGTCCGGTCTCGGCTCCCAGTCACTGCGTGGTGCCTTGTTAGCTTGAATTTGGCAGCTGTCACCTTGTCCTTGTGCCCAGACAGTGTCTCCTGCCACCCCATCCCAGATACGGTCAAGGACATGACCAAGATCCCATAACAGCACCCCCAGTCCTGAAGTATGACCCCGACCCCCAGACTTCCTCCCCAGTCAGCCTCACCTTGGACTGTATCTCCCCCACCTTCCAGAGATGGGCAGCCCGATTATAAGTAGCTGCTAAAACCTGGGAGCCCTAGAGAGAAGAGTGGAAGAGAGGTGGTGAGATGGGGGCGGTAGAGGCCAGAAAGCTGGGGTAGGGGATACCCCAGAGCTCCCCATGGCCTGGGTCACCGAGGCAAACAGGGGAGCTTCAGGCCCAGGGAGGAGGACTATGTGACAGCCTAAGGGCCAGTCCTAGGGTCCCCGTGACATGACCTCAGGCAGAGCCCCCACACGCCCAGTGTCAAGACTGAGGGGCAATCCTGCGCCACTAGAGCAAATTCCCCTCACCGAGGGATCGAAGTCCACACTGGTGATGCTGCCACCAGCTCCTTCAAGGGTCTGGTTGGCCTTCAGGCGACCTAGGGAGACCAGGAGAAGAGCAGTTGAAATAAGATCAAGAACTTCATGAAATAGAGGAATTTGGATTGACAGTGAGAAGATCAGTCTCCTCCAGGTTAAAAGACAGAATCCCTGGATCTATTCTGCCTGCCTAGGCTGCAGGCTACATCTCTCTTAACTGCTGGCAGTGAGTCCCTGGTGGCAGCCAGTCATTTCACAGAGAAGGCTAGAGAGGACCAGAGAGAAGGGACTGCCCCTAGGTCACACAGCAAGCCAGGGCCAGGCCTAGACTTGCCTTTTCTAGGAAGCTTCCAGGAGCCCCATATCCACCCCCTACAGAACACAAGAGCTGCCCCAAAACAGATAATCAACTGAGACCTGAGAGCTCGAGTGACATTAGAAGAGGTAGCCTGGTAGAGTCACGACTTGCTCCTCAAGGGCCTGTCTCTATTGGACCTCAAGATAAGGGACCCTCCCCATCTCCCCCCACCTGGGACTATCAGAGCTCAACCCTCCCCTTCTTGCAGGTCTGGACCCTAAGAGCTGGCAGGGCAGCAAGCCCAGAACTCACTCTTGCCAAGGGCTTATTTAGGCACTAACCACAGAATGTTCCAGGAGGGGAATACAAGGAGGTCAGAGACCCTTACCCAGCAAGAAACACCCTAAGGATAGGGTATGGAGAGAAAGCACTAGGTTGGCCTGCAGGGAAGGAATCCTTACCTCCTACAACATTCCAGAGATGGATAAGGCAGTCAGCCCCTCCAGTGGCCAGGAGGCTGCCACTGGGGCCAAAACAAACAGCATTAACCTCAGAGAGGTGGGCATCCTGTGGAGAAAGGGGGAGGTTGGTGCCCTGGGTCATCCCTACACATGCCTCTTGGTGCATGCTCACAGGCTGGCATCTCATGTGTGCCCATGCACGTATCATGTCCCACTGCTGACTTGCTATCCCCAAGCCAAGTCTTTCTAAAACCTTTAATTTCAAACCTGATCCCACCAGGCCTCATCACCTCTGCTTAGACCCTGCAATAGCCTTCCCGCTATGCTTCTCTTCTGGCTGGCCTCCTGTCTCTGCCTCCCCAGTCTGTGCTCCTATTATAGTACACTGGAGTGGTTCCCATCACAAGCTGTGGAGGGCAACCTCCCAACCCTGTTAGGAGCCCAGCCTCACTTCTCCACCCTGCTGGAATCACCCCTGGTGCCTGTCCTTCCTTCTCATTGCTCCACAAGTGCAGCCAACTCCTCCCTCACCAGTACATCCTGAGCCCGAGTAGGAAGTCGGGCAGCCACGCACACAGGAATGCTCTGGTATCGATGCTCAGGGGCTCCCCCAATTGAATGACCTCTCCTCTTCTTGAAACTGGGGTGGGGGAAGGGCAATAAGAAGGCATTCAGCAAAGCCTTCTGACATTGGAGCCTCCAGCTGCCCTGAAGCAGCAACAATGGAAAACAGACATGGCAGGAGGTACAACATGACTCCAAGGTACAGACAGCACATTCCAACCCAGCCTGTGACCCAGGTCAGTGTGGAGATGGGGCAGGTTATGCAGAGACAGATACAGAAGCAGAAAGGGTGGTGGGTGTGAAGAAACTCAGGGCTGAGGTTTCAGTCCGGGCCTTGCTGCTGCTCGGTTCTGTGACTCTGATCAAGTCCCTGACATTTCTGAGCCTCAGTTTCCCAGTTGTCTGGCCTCAGTTTGGAGTTCTTGGTGAGGCCTCTGGATGAGGACAGAGTCTGGGAGATAACTGAGTGGGGCGTGAGGATGAGAGCATACTCCTGGATCCTGCCTCCCGGGTTCAACGGAGACTCACAGACAGCTGGGCACCATATGGATGGACAGGCCAAAGCACACACACAGACCAAGCCTAGACTCAGAAAGCCCAACACAGGGTACCAAGGGGCCCAACCCCTTTACACACATGGTGGCACACTCAGGTACACACACTTACTCCAGAAGTCCCTTCACCACATCCACACAGTGGGACAGCGTCAGGGAGGTGGCTGAGGCAGACCTGGATAGAACCAAGAGATGTGCATGTGCAAACAGATGTCATTCATCTCTACACTTTACTGGAGACCTAGAAGATCATAACCTGGCGAGCATGGGACAAGAACTTGACTTCTCCAAGACCAGGGGAGAGAGGTAACCTAGACCAATCCCAGGAAGGTGGAGGCAGGGAGGGATCTGATAACAAAAGTATTCCCAAGGGTCCGCCATGATGGTAAGAACTGCCTTACCCCCATAAGTGCCCACCAACAAAAGTTCCTGGGAAGGCTAGATGCAATGGCTCACACCTGTAATCCTAGCACTCTAGGGGGCCAAGGAACATGGATTGATTGTCTGAGCTCACAGGTTCAAAACCAGCCCAAGGCAGAGTGAGACACTACCTCTAAAAATAGCCAGGCGTAGTGATGGGTGCCTGTAGTCCCAGCCACTCGGGAGGCTGAGGCAAGACAATCACTTGAGCCCAAGAGTTAGAGGTAGCTGTGAGCTATGAGGCCACAGCACTTTACTGAGGGCAAGGGCAACAAAGTGAGACTCGGTCCCCCTCCTCCCACCAAAAAAAAACAAAAAAAACAAAAAAAACAAAAACTCCTGGGACACTGGGGCCTATGGGGAAGAGAGAAGGCAAATGTGCCCCCAGGCTGGGACAGCACAGGGGTGGGAGGTGAGAGTAGAAGAAAATCCTGGGCTTGTTGAGCAACCTCAGACACAACCAATAAAGAGTGTGTCCTGGGATAGCTTGGCCAACCAGGGCTGCCAAGGACTTTAAGACCAGCATCTCATGCCCCTCCCCAAGGTTCCTTCACTGCCCTGAGGGGACCTGCAAGGAAAGGCTGAAGTAGAAGAGCATCTAGGTTGGGGATTGGTCAGGAGGGGTGGCCTCAATGACAGGCAAACTGAGACAGTTAGGGGAGATAGAGAGGAAGGCACCCGAAGATCAAAGCTCCAATCAGGTTCCATCCGTGTAAACACACATCTACACATGCTCATAAGTCCACAGGCAATCAGGTCTGCTCACCCAAGCTTGTACACATGTGTGCCTCATATCCCTGGTTATGCACACGCTTGCAACCTGTGCCTGCACACACATGCTTGGGACAGCTGAGCCCTGGGCCTTGCTCATAGGTTCTCCCTGGTGGCTCTCATTCACAAGGCTGACACCCCACGCCCAGAGCTCTGCTGAGGAGGGAATGGGCTGAGGGCAGGGGTTGGGATCTCTGAGATGGCACTGACCCCCAGTGGCTCCAGGAAAGGAGGTCAGACCACTCCTAGGAGGTCTGAGCTATACCTCAGCCTCTCTCCAAGCCACCTTCCAACCCAAGAGTGGGCCTCAAGGGCTTAGAGGAAGATTCTGGCAGCCTCAGGGGTGGGACTCAGAATTCTGGGACAGACACCTGGTTCCTCACCTGAAGGGCCTCTTCCACTTCTCACAAGCTTCACTGTCCAGGGGCTCTGGCTCAGCAGCCACGGCCACGGCCTCCTCCCTGATCCCACCGCCTGGGGTGTTTGGCCTCCTGCCAGAGGGAATGAAGTTCAGAGAGGCTGAGGATCCAGGCCTGGGGCTCCCTGCCCCACGGTGGAGGTGTGAATTCCCAGTGACGAGGGGCTCTGTGGGCGCACGCGAGGGATGCACTCGCGCAGGGACCCATGACCACACATCTCTGCACGAATCCTGTGGGCCCCATCTACTCGGGGGCCTGGGGACCCCACAGTGCACCTGTGTAGTCAGACGCACATAGGAAGCGGCGAGAGGCCGAGTACAGCCGGCCGGCTGCAGAGCACAGGGGTCAGGGCCCGGCCGTCCCGGCTCTTACTCGCTGATGCTCACAGTCCGCTTGGCAGCTTTCTTCAGCTCCTGGGACACCTGTGCCTGCTTGGCCCTGGAGGGTAGAAACGCCCGGAAGTGGCGCTTGGGGCGCCCCGGCCTTCAAGCAGAGAGGAGACCCGGCCCCTCTCCTCAGCTGGCGGTTGAGCCCGCCGCCCTGTCCCTCTCAGACGCGGACTGCGAGTCCGGACCCCCCACGGGGCGGGGCCTACCCTCCGAAGGGGCGGGGCCAGGTCCCTCACCGCTCCCGGCGCTCGTTGCACAGGTTGCGCTCCGCGGCGGCGCGCGCCTTGCGCTGCAAGAGCCGCTCCAGCAGGTCGCGCGCCTCCTCCTGGAGCTGGCGCAGTGCCGCCTCCCGGAGTCCGGCGAGCGCGCGCAGCTCCTCGTAGGCTGCCCGCTGTACGGCGTTCCGCGCCTGCTGCTCCTCCACCTGCTGGGCTTGCAGCACCCTCTCCTCTCGCAGCTGCGCCACGCGGGCCTCCAGCGCCGCCAGCCTAGAGGGGGCAGTGGGTTTCGAGACTCCGCCGTCACTGCCTTGTGGGAATACCCGCCTCGGAGCCGAGACAGACTAGCTCAACTCTGAGCGAGCTCTCTCCAACCAATCTTTCGTTCTCAGAGGACTCCGCTTTGAATCCTCTGGTACCAACCACAGTCTTGGGTGGGTGGGGGTATGGGGACACGGACAAAGCTCTAGGACCCGAGCCTTCCAGAACTGGGCGCGGTACCTCGCCAATCAGCCCGCGCCTCACCTGTTTTGCCGCTCCTGCAACTGCAACTCCAGAGTGCCCAGGGCTGCGCTCTTCTCCACCACCTGGTAGGCCATCTGGAAGAGGCGGAGGGGGCAGACAGGTGGGCATGGGCGTCCTCTGCAATGCTCACACCTGGCCTGCAGCCCCGCCCGGGCAAAGGGGGCTGGTGGGACAGTCTGCTACTCCACCCGCCCGCCCCCTACTGAAAAGAAAGCTGAGGCTCTGAGAGGTTTGGGATCTTGCCCAAGGATGCACTGCTGCTTTGTGTAACAAGGGAAAGGCCTGAGGCCCTGGAGTCTGACAAGTCAGTTTCCATCCTAGCTGTGCCACTTAGTTTCTCTGTCACCCTGGGGTAGTCACTGAACCTCTCTAGCAAGAAGAATCTGCTCCATTTCCTCATCTGTAAAATGGGAACAATAGTGCTTACTTCATAGGGTAATGCAGAGCTCTGATGAGGAATAACATTTCAAATGCAGACAAACGTTTTATAGCACTTGCACGTGCCATGCCTTGTTCTGAGTACTCTACACATATTAATTCTTTTAATTCTCATAACACTGTAAGATTGGTATTGCCATTCTCCTTTGACAGGAACATTGACACAGAGAGGTTACAGTGTCTTGCCCAAAGTCACTTTAAGCCACTAAGCCACTTAAGTGGCTAAGTGCCAGAGCTGATATTTGAGCCCAGGCCACCAACTACATTATCATCCAGATAGACTACTGACCTATAGGAGGGGTTCAAGGGATGTGAGTTCTGTTCCCCAAAGCATCTCCAACACTGGCTTCCTGTGCCATCCCCAACCCCTGGCCTTTGCAATCACAAATGTCAGAGAAGAGGGAAGATCCCCTAGCAGAGACACACAAGGCTAAGAACAGAAAGGGACTGTAGGAGCACAGGGCCCAGACTGATTACTGGCGCTTCCCCACCATCCTGAGTGTGAGGTGAGCATCATTTCATCTGTACTCCTGCCTCACTAAGCCCTCCTTCAGCTGACAGCCAAGAGCTGGCAAAGCCCAATTCCCACCTTTTGGTGCTGAGGGAATCAGTGAGAAAGACACAGGGAGTCGTGTCAATGCAGGTGGACAGCACCAACTTTGCTCCCCAATCCACCCTTACCAGGTCCATGTGAGAAGAACACAGGAACAGGTTAGCAATAAGAGCCCCCAGCCTTGGCTTGGGCCAGAGGTACTCAGCGCCTCTGGCCCTTATGTTCCTCACGTCACACTGGGGAGAAATCCCTTGCCTGGGGTCTTTCTTTTTTTTTTTTGTAGACACAGCCTCAAGCTGTCCCCCTGGGTAGAGTGCCATGGCATCACAGCTCACAACAACCTCCAACTCCTGGGCTCAAGGGAGTCTCCTGCCTCAGCCTCCCAAGTAGCTGGGACCATAGGCACCCGCCACAACGCCTGGCTATTTTTTGGTTGCACCATCATTGTTGTTTGGCAGCCCGGGCTGGATTTGAACCTGCCACCTTAGGTGTATGTGGCTGGCACCTTAGCCACTTGAGTCACAGGCACCGAGCCATTGCCTGGGGTTTTTCTCACTGACATCCTCAGCACCAAAAGGTGGGAGATCTTTGTGGTGATGAAATAGTGCTGTATTTTGATGGTTACACACATTTACACATGTGATAAAAAAGGGAAGAACTATATACATACTTTCATAGCAAAATCAGTTTCCTGGTTGTGTGTACTATATTTATACAAGATATAGATAATGGGGGGAAAGGTACACAGGAATTCTCTGTACTATCTTTGCAACTTCCTATGAATCCCTATTTCAAAGTAAAAACTTAAAATAATAATAATGATTAATGCTTACGTTATATGACAAAGTGCTAAGGAGAATTAAAGAAAAAGCCTCCATCCCCATCCCCTGGCATATCCAATGGGAATAGACTGTGTGTCTGGGAAGGAGTGTATGGAAACAAGGGGGCTGTGGGCTCAAAGAGATGCCACAGGTGGCTGGAGAACTCGACTGGGGAGCAGGGCTGAGGAACTTTGGAAGAGCTATCCCATGCTATACTGGGGAGAGGTGGTGAAAGGGGCTTTTTTTTTTTTGGTGTTTGTAAAAGAGGCTCTTACTTTTTATTCTATGATCCTCTATTCTCTCAAATTCTTTACAACAAGCATGTTTTGTGTATTGTTTGCCTTTAATGGAGACCATTTTTGTTACTAAAAGATATCATTCCAAATGCTATATGGAGAATAGATGGGAAGTTCCCAAGGAGTCACCCTCCAGAGAAGGAGAAGAGTAACTTGATACAGGAAACAGAAGTTGATGGGTTTGGAGGCAGAGTCAACAAGCTGGTGACCAACTCAAGACAGAGAGCTGGGAAGAGTCAGAGGTACTTTGACTTTCCAGCATGCATGACAACCACTACAAGCAGTCACAGGAGGGACAGTCCACCATATCCATCACTTAGTCACACACTCATTAATATGGACTGTGGAGACAGGCCTCAAGGATACAACGAGGCAAACCAAAGGCATCCCAGGTCTTAGGGAGCTCACAGCCCAGCAACTGGGGTCAAATGTTTGAGAATCACCTCTTAAGCAAGCATTAAGTTGCCACTACAACAGCGGCTGTGCAGGAGAGGCTCTCAAATGAGTTCATACCCCTATGCCAACAACTTTGTTGGGCAGGTGACTTGGCATGCTGTGACTAGATGTGTATTTACTGGCCCAACACAATCTTCTCGGGAGAACTAGAAGCCCCATAGAGCCAGGTCTTGCCCACTACCACTGCATTCCATTTTCCTTAGCAATAGCAATTATTATTTTTTTTTTTTTGAGACAGTCTTACTTTGTCACCCTTGGTAGAGTGCAATGGTGTCATAACTCACAGCAACCTCAAACTCCTGGGCCCAAGAGATTCTCTTGCCTCAGCCTTCCAAGTAGCTGGGACTACAGGCACCTGCCACAATGCTCGGCTATTTTTAGAGATGAGGTCTTGCTCTGGCTTAGACTGGTCTCGAACCTGTGAGCTCAGGCAATCCACCTGCCTCGGCCTCCCAAGTGCTGGGACTACAGGCACCTGCCACTGCATCCGGCCTAGCACTAGCAATTATTAATAAACACTGAAAGAATGAATGGGGCTGTGCCCATAGTTCAGTGGGTAGGGCGCTGGCCACATACATCAAGGCTGATAGGTTCAAACCTGGCCCAGGTTAGCTAAAACAACAACAACAACAACAACAACAATAGCCAGGATTAGTTGAAATAATGCTTAGCTCAGTGCCTGCAAGGAGTCAAATCTTAAAATGGTGTTGGCCATATTATTACATGTGAGATTGTGAGTCTAATTTTAGATCTGATATCCAAAAAGTAACTGACCAAGATTATGAGCATAGAAGAGAAGGCTGGGCTAGAGACAGACCTGAGAGTCATCAAAGAGACAGTCCCTAAGGCCATAGGAATCATTGTGGTGTGGTGAAAGAGAAGCCAAGAGACTGCTGCATTGTAGGGGCAAGTTCAGGCATAGTGTCAGGTGGAGGGACCACACCCTGCCCATGGACTAAATGAGCTTATTTCTTTAGTTTGCAAATGTTCATAGAGGACAACTGGTGTTAGGCCCTGGGGTAAGGCCTGGGCAAGGGGTGAGGAGTAGAGCAGGCTAAGCCATCTGGATGGGGAATAGGCAGTGAAGCCCCCTGCACACCTCACTCCCTCCAGCTGCTGTCACAGCCTACTTCATCCTATGATGCCAGGGGTGCTTTACCCCTGCCCAGCTTCCAGTCAGTGGGACTCAGTGGGGCTCACTCACTCGCAGCACTAGACTTGGGGAATGCAGCAAACATAGCAAGTACTCCTCACTTGCTGGCTCCCTTGGACCATGTCTCCCAGCCCCAAAGTTCTGGACCCTGGCCCTGCCCCATTCTTAGACCCCTACCCAGCTTACCTCACCACAAACCAGCCGGAGCCCCTCCTCCTTCTCCTGCCACTTCACCCTCAGAGTGGCCAGTGCTGGGACTTGGTCTAAGTCAGGCACTGACTCCTCCTCCCTGCCAACAAATCAGAGAGTGGCTCTCATTGTCCCTCCATTCACCACAATGTGTAAGGCACCCAGGGGATGCCACATAAAAGGCCTGAAATAAGAGCCATTGAATTTCTCCTGGGGAAGATGGAAGTCAGCAAAAAAAAAAGCAAGTCTCCAGAAATGAGCAGTCCATGACTCCTCTGTTCTGGAAGCCCCCAGACCCTGGGTTCCCCAGCCAAGAACCCTCCTCAAGAAGTACCTTGGAACTCTGAGCCCCAACCCATTTCTGGTTCTTATCGTCACTCCTTCTTTAGAATAAGCAGTAAGACCCTTTCTGTAGGCATCAGGTAAGGAACAGGGAGATGGAAAAAGACTGAGAAGGGGAAAAGACAAGAGTGCAGGGTGAGAGGGGAAGGAGATGGGACACATGCAGAAAGATGGACAGAGAAGGGCAAGGAAGACAGGAGATTCTGCACCCCCCACACACACCACCCCTAGGCAGCAGACAGGGGCCAATAAGGTGCCAGGAGAGAACCCAGCATAGGCAGTGGGAGCAGGACCCAGGCCAGGCAGCCCATTGTGACCATGGACATACATACACTCACCAGGGGCCCTGGTGAGTGGTGGGAGTAACATCATTTGGCTCCAGCTGCAGCTTCTCTGAGAACTTGTCCAGCAGCTCGGCCTTCTCTAGGAGATGGTTATCTGGGGGTGCACAGGTTAGCCTAGAGACAGATGCTTTCCAGCAGACCTCTGGCATACAAGTAATCTCTGGCAAAAGAGCTGCAGGAGCCCAGGATTCTGGGCGTGGGAAAGTTTCTAGTAGGGTGGGCTCCGCCTCTTGCCAGAGAGGTATTTGTGCAATGCTACAGGACCTTCAGCCTTGCCACAGACTCCTCACAGCACCGGCCCCCAGGTTCACCCAGAAGAGGACCTGCTCTCCCAGGGACAGAAGAATGGCCACTGCTGGGAGCATCCAGGGATGACAGTGCTGTCTGCTGAGGGTCTTGAAAGAAGGGAGGGCCTTGGGATTGATTCATCCCTGCCCCAGAGAAGAAGAGCTTGGCCATGTTAAATGATGAAACAAGTTGAGCTCCACCTACCTATGTCCTTTGGCAAGTCACTTCCCCTCCAAGGACTCTAATTATCTGGACTAAAAAATAATCCTAACTTCCCCAGGGTTGGTGTAAGGTTGTAAGGTCCCCTCAGACCAGAAAGGAAAGTCCTTGAGCAACCATCCAGCAGACCTGTGTGAGTTTGGTGGTTTGACCCTGAAACACACTGCCTTCCCCCATCCAGGGTCACTTCCTCTTTTCTCATTAGTTGCAGCATAGGATAGGGGTGGTAAGCCCAGGCTTAGCTCCTTAGCTCCCTTCCCTCACCCAGTGCCTTGCCTGCCACCTGGAGCTCATGGGTCTGACCTAGTTCTCACACAAACCCCACCCCAGCCCCCAGGGCACTGCACTTCTACCTCACCAATAAATTGGGGCTCAGGGAGATGACATGCCAAAGACCACAAAGATGAATGGACCTTCAGTCTGTTTGATTCCTCTAGGTCCTCAGACATGCAACTCCCAGAGGGTAGATGGGGGATAACTCCTTCCTCAAACTGGATGGTTCCACTGCCCTTCAGAGCAGTGAAGTGAGGCTGCCTGGATTAGGGGCTTGGCCTCACAAACTTGAAGGGAAGAGGACCAGCAGTTTGGAAGGTGGTTGTGGTTGAACTTTAAATTCCAGACATACAATGTTGTCAAGTGACCAGAGGTGCTATACACAGATGCAGACCTGTTCACCCTATCTTCAACTTTGAACCACCACACCTCTTGACCCACACTTGCCACAGCTTGGGGCCTCATAAGGACTCTTCTAAGGCTGGACTAGGCTGGCACACAGGTGCTCCACAAACCTGCACCCACCTATTAGTGACAGACCCTAAAATTCAGAGCTTTCTCCTTAGAGACTCAGAGTTCCACTCTTTCCCTTGACAGGCCAACAAGTGGCTGCTCTGGAGACTCCCACGTTCCTTAACTGTGCTATTGGGTTCAGACCCTGCCCTGGGAACCACTGGGGAGAGGAAGGCACAAGATACTCTGGCATACAAGTAATCTCTGGCAAAAGAGCTGCAGGAGCCCAGGATTCTGGGCGTGGGAAAGTTTCTAGTAGGGTGGGCTCCGCCTCTTGCC